TTTTTTCTCATTCTGTGGGTTTTATCTTCCCTTTTTTAATTGTTTCTTTTGCTGTATAGAAGCTTTTTAGTTTAATGAGGTCCCACTTGTTGATTGCTGACTTAATTCCTGAGCAACTTCTGTCGGATTTAGAAAATCCTTTCATACACCTACCTATATCTTGTAAGTTACTGCCAACATTTTCTCCTAATAGTTTCAGGGCTTCTAGTTTCACACTGAGGCTTTTGATCCACTTGGAGTTAACTTTTGTGTAAGGTGAAAGAAAGGATCTAGTTTCATTCTTCTACAGGTGGAGATCCACTTTTGCTAGCACCATTTGTTGAAGATGCTGTCTTTCTTCCATTGTGTGTTCTTGGCACCTTTGTCAAATATCAAGTGGCTGAAATTGCGTGTACTCAGGTTTGGATCTTCAGTGATGTTCCATTGATCTATGTGTCTATTTTTGTGTCAGTACATGCTGTTTTTAAGATTATACCTCTGTAGTATACTTTGAGATCTAGTATAGTAATCCCCCCAGCGTTGCTCTTTGTGCTCAGGGTTGCTTTGGTTATCTGGGGTCTTTTGTACTTCCATATAAATTTAAGGATGATTTTTTCTAATTCTTTGAAGTATGTCATGGATATTTTGATTGGGATTGCATTGAATTTATATATTGCATTTGGTAGGATGGTCATTTTCACAATATTAATTCTTCCAATCCATAAGCATGGGAGGTCCTTCCATCTCCTGGTGTCTTCCTCAATCTCTTTCTTTAATTTAAAAATTCATTGTAGAGATCTTTGGTGTATTGGTCAGATTTATTGCAAGATATCTTATTTTTGAAGCAATTGTGAATGGGAGCATTACCCCATATTCTTTCTCCAATTACTTGTTATTGGTATATAGAAAGGCTACTGATTTTTGTAGATTTTTTATAACCTGCCACTATACTGAAAGTGTTGATCAGTTCTAGGAGTTTTCTGGTGGAACTTTTGGGATCTCTTAGATATAGTATCATATCATCTGCAAAAAGTGATAGTTTGACCTCTTCTTTTCCAATTAGTACTCCTTTAATGTCCTTCTCCTGTCTTTTTGCTCTAGCAAGAGTTTCAAGCACTCTATTAAAAAGAAGTGGAGATAGTGGACAAAAGGAGTGGAGACAGTGGACATCCTTGTCTGGTTCCTGATTTTAATGGGAATGCTTCCAGTCTTTCTCCATTTAGAATGATGTTGCCTGTGGGTTTGTTTTATATAGTGTTAATTATGTTGAGGAATGTTCCCTCCAGTCCAGTTTCCTCTAGGACTTTGAAAAGACACAGTCATTGATATTTAAGGTTATTATTGAAAGGTATGTGTTTGTTGCCATCATTTTGATTGCTGTTTGTGTTCTCTGTGTAATTTTGTGTTTCCTAGGTTATATCTTTATTTATTTTCTTTCGTTGCCCCTAGGATATAGTCATTCCTTTCTCCTCTCTTTGTATTGCTTCATGTATTCTTTGAAGGGCTGGTTTCATAGGCATGCATTCACATGTATTCTTCCAGGCTGTTCATGTCATGGAAGATTTTTCTTTCCCCCTCAAGTATAATAGACATTTTTTGGGGTATAGTATTCTTTGCTGGCATCTTTTGTCTTGTAGAACTGGATATACCTAGGTCCAGGCTCTTCTGGCTTTCATAGTTTGTATTGATAAGTTAGCTGTAATTCTGATGGGCTTTCCTTTGTATGTGCCTTGTTGTCTTGTTTTTATTTTGCTCCTTTCAGTATTCTCTCTTTGTTCTGTACATTTAGTGTTTTTACTATGATATGTCATGAGGAATTTCTTTTCTGATCCTGTCTATTTGGTGTTCTATGTGCTTCCTGTATTTGTATTGGGATGTCTTTCCTTAATTTCAGGAAGTTGTCTTCTACAATCCTGTTTAAGGTCAGGTCAATACCATTAGCCTGAAATTCTTCTCCTTCCTCTATTCCTATGATCATAGATTTGGTCTTTTCATGGTGTCCCACATCTCTTGCATATTCTGTTCCTGTGTTTTTTAAAATTTTCCATAATCTTTGCTTGAGTGGTCCAATTCTTCAACTTTATCCTCAAGTGTTGATATTCTGTTTTCCATTTCATTCATTTTAGCATTGAGGCTTTCCCCTGTTGTTTCAAGTTGGCTTATTGAGCTTTGCACTTCTTTCTTCATTTCTGCCTGAGTTTTCTTCAATGTTTCTATCTCTTTTGTGAATTCACTCAGAAGTTTATCCATATCTTCTTTTAGTTCTTTGATTTGTTTGTTCGTTTGTTCTTTGAATTTGTTGAATTCCTTGATCATGTTTATGATTGTTCTTTTAAATTCAGTGCTCTGGGTTATCTCTGGGGGATTCTCCTTGTAGAACTCTTCTACAGGACTGGTGGAGTTTGGTGGGGACATAGTGTTTTGGCTTTCCATTTTATTATTCTTTCGTCGTGATTTTGGCATGTGAATTTCTTTTGTTGTTTATGATTCTGATGTGAGAATTAAGTTGAAGTGTGCTTCTGTTTGTATTATCAGGGTGCCTAGGTCATTTCCTTATTGGTTATGTAAAGCTTGTTGGTACAGATTTCAGGTTCTCTCAGGTTTTATTTTGCAGGGAATTGATGGCTTCAGATCAGCTATTCAGGAGTACCTACAGAAGTCCAAGTCAGGTTCCAGTTAGGTACACTCAGGCTTCCTTCTAAGGTTTGGACCCCTATTAGCAGGAACTCAGAGAAAATTTGGGAAATTCCCTAAGGGGGGAGTGGATTTTGGGACTCTCAGTTGGTCTGCTGTTCTCAGCCCCTATGCCAGAGGGAGGCCAGACCCTGACACTCTCTGGCGGTCTGCTGAGATCACAGCCGCTACACTGATGGTCAGAGCCCAGCCTCTCAGGCTGTCTGCTGGGATCTCAGCCTTAGCCTACCAAAGCAAGATCTGCCCTGGGCCTTGGGAAGGGGCCTCATGAAATCCTAGGTAGGGGGATGGGTATGCCACAATTAGGGGAGGCTAACCACCTCCTGGAGGCAGGATCTGGGTGCTCTCAGGCAGTCCCCTCTGTTCTCAGCCCCTATGCCAGAGGGAGGCCAGAACCTGGCACTCTCTGGCAGTCTGCTGAGATCACAGCCGCTACACTGATGGAGGTCGGAACCCACCCTCTCAGGTTGTCTTGATTTTCTGAAATTTTCTATCATCAGATTCATCAGTTGATCTGCTGTCATAGTATGAATGATGCATTTTGTAATTCTGAAAGACAGATTCCATTGCAGATTGCAGTTTACCATGGATTATACCTTTGGGAAGGGATAATCTCAATTTGAAGATTGCAAAACTCTCATTGAACAAATATTATTTAAGTTCAAATTGAAATGTAATTTTTTTAAAGTCAGAGTTTCATATAGCCCAGGCTGGTCTCAAACCTCCTCATTTAGTTGAGGATGACTTTTGAACTCCAGATTCTCCTGCCTCCACATACTAAGTACTAGTATTACAAGGTGTGTGTCACCTTGCCCAGCTGAAATACAATTTTAAAAGATTTTTAAAATTTTTATTTATTTTAATTTTTAAAATTTTATGTGTGTGTTTTGCTTGCATGTAAGTACACCCATGTCATGTAATGCCTGCAGAGGTTAGAAGAGGGCATCAGCTAGAACTGGAATTAGGAACAGTTGTTAGCCACCATGTGGCTGTGGGAACCAAACCTGGGTCCTGTGTAAAAGCAGCCAGTGCTCTTAACCTCTAAGCCGTCTCTCTAGCCCCCTTATTTTATTTTTAAAAATATGTACTTTAGGCCAGGCGTGGTGGCTCATGCCTTTAATCCCAGCACTCGGAAGGCAGAGGCAGGTGGATCTCTGTGAGTTCAAGGCCAGCCTGGTCTACATAGTGAGTTCCAGGACAGCTGGGGCTACAGGGAGACCCTGTCTCAAAAAGACAAAAAAAAATGCACTTTATTATTTTTACTTTATGTATGTATGTAAGTGTACCTGTTGTGCAATGCCCATGGAAGTCAGAAGAGGGCATCTAATTTCCTGGAACTGGAGTTACAGACAGTTGTTAACTGTCATATGGGTGCTGGGATCTGAACCTGCGTCCTCTGCAAGAGCAGCCAGTGCTCTTAACTGCTGAGCCATCTCTCCAGCTCCCCTTATTTTGTTTTTAATTGTGTGTGTCTGTATATGAATATGTGCATGCGAGTACAGGTGTCCTCGGAGGCCAGAAATGGAAGGTGTATCCCCAGAAGCAGAAGTTATAGTCAGTTTGAGCGGTCTGACATGGGTGCTAGGAACAGAACTCCAGTCTTCTGGAAGAACAGTACCACTCTTAACCTCTAAGCTGTCTCTCCGTCCTGAAATAAAATTTTTAAGACCATGTAGACATGTACTGAATGAACTCCACTAGCTGGGTGTGGTGGCGCATGCCTTTAGTCCCAGCACTCAGGAGGCAGAGGCAGGCGGATCTCTGTGAGTTCAAGACTAGCTTGGTCTACATAGTGAGTTCCAGGCCAGCTGGGGCTACACATTCCTATCCCAACTTCAGGTCCTCCTCCTCTTTCTTCTTCTTTCTCTCTTCTTCCTTCCTTCCTTCCCTCCCTCCCTCCCTTTTTTCCTATAGCCCATTGGTTCCAATTAGTGCTGCCTATGTAGGCATGGGTATAGGGCCATGAGCAACCTGGCAGAGGCCTTACACCTCAAGAAAACTGATTCTCCCTTCTCCAGAAGCTATCAGCTGTACCTCAGCTAGGAGTGGGGCCTTGTCAGCCTCCATTGAAGGCATTTGATACCATTTGAATTTCTGTTCTCAATAATGTGTTACTGCATAGAAATTCAAGGGTTTTTAGTATATTGATCTTGTACACAGTAGCTTTGATAGACTTATTTATTGAATCTAAGAGTAGAAAAGCATATTTATAGCTTCCTCAGAGTTCTCTGTATACATATATATATAGCAATTTTCATATCATTTATTTCTTTTTCTTACCTCATTGCATTTGTGCCATTAACTTTTTTCAAATTACTATTTTTTTTTTTTTTGGTCTTTTTGGAACAGGGTCTCACTATGGAACTGGAACTCACTATGTAGACCAGGCTGGCCTCAAACTCACAGAGATCCGCCTGCCTCTGCCTAATTATTTTTAAAATAAAAATTTCTTTTAGTTGACAAATTAGAATTTTATATATTTATCATGTAAAACAATGTTTTAGAATATTTATACGTGTGGAAAGACTAAATTGAGCTAATTAACAAATATTTTACTTTACATTCTTATTTTTATGTAATGAGAACACTTAAAAATCCCTCAGAAATTTTCAAGAATACAATGCATGTTGTGCAATAACTCTCTGTTCTTTGATTTTGTTGATAACCATATGTCACTTTCATTATATTTTAAAATAAGAGCAAGTCCTTTTATGAATGTGATAAAATAGTGGGGTTTTGGTTTAGTGACTTTATTATATATATATTGTATATGGTGGCCATATGCTAATTACTAAAATTAGATTTAAATTTTGTTAGGCCCCATATTGAGAACATTTGAGTCCCTCTGGCCTGGTTAACCTTGGACTGCATCTCTTTTTAAACCTGTTTCTTTCCCCTGGCAAATTGAGGCTGATGCATCATCCTGTTGGACAGCCTCTGATCCTGTTAGGCCTCCTCTGAAGACAGGATATGTGACAGTTATATTGTAACTAACAATAGTACTGTGGTCTAATTACACAGTTGCCAGCTTGACTCTAGATTATTCTATGGTTGTTTTAAGACTCAGAAACTCAAGTATTTTATTTTCATGAGGTAGGTAAGCAGCATTTAGCCTGAGTTTCTATAGAGACACAGGACTCTGGGGATATTCTTTTCCTGCCTGTATATTGTTCGGACTTCTCCCACTTCAGAGGAATCATGTCTGGACAGAAACAATAAAAACTTAACCAGCATTAAAGCTGCTGCTTGCTTCCTTTAATTAATTAGCCTAGATTAAACATACCAGAGGAGAGTGCCCTTAGAAATCTTAACCAGAAAGCCGATGATTTCAGTTAATAATGGAGCTGAATTAATTGTTCCCGCTGTGTATGGAACGAAGAGTCTGTGTGGCATTGTCTTCCAGAACATTTTTACTCCTGGAGAACAGCGAGTGCAATAATTATAAAGCTTTATTGTTGTAAATACAGAAAGAGACTGTTTGGTCTTGACTTGTTCAATTGTTTTCTCTGTTTTTGCTCTGGTCTATGACATCAGAGGTGCAGTTCATGGGAATGTATGTACATCCTACCACCTAGAACTGAAGGAAGCAGAATCGGTTATGCAGAAGCCCGGGTCTGTAGTGTCAGGCTAGGAAAGAAGCTCAATACCTGTGCAGTGACTCTGATACTTTATGCAGTGAACACACTGAGGCCTGGGAAGGAAGGGTGTAAAGCCCTTGGCTATCTAGACATGTATCTAAGGCTGTGCATACCCTAATTTCTCACCCTTTCTCCGCAGTTTCCAACCAGAGGAGAAATTCCTCCTTGGCCCGGGTACATTCAATGATGATTGAGGCACCCATCAACAAGGTTGGTCTCCACTGAGCATGTGAACCCTGTGTACTCCCAGTGAATTGTTTCCCTGAGAAGAAACAGGGACCTGCATTAGTGCAGTGATGTAATCACACATTATTGCCTTGACTCCTGACAGCTTGACTCTTAATTACTCTCTGATTGTTTTAAGATTATGAAACTCAAGTCCTTTATTTTCATGATGTAGGTAATCAGTATTATCAGTGCTGCCCAGGAGAACAGTCCTATGCCTGTGATAGAAGCCTTGAACCGTGTGCTGGAAATTCTGAGAACCACTGAGTTATATTCACCACAGTTTAATACTGAAGAAGATGATCCTCATGCCGTCAACCTCGTAGGGGGCTTAATGTCTGTAAGTTTATTTGCCCAGGCTACTGGCTACTGTCTTTTCTTGCTTCTCAGAGATTGTTTGGAACAGGGCTCTGTAGAGAGACAAGCAGGGCATCATATGTAGAACTTAGTCAAGGCCAAAACTCCTCCATGGTTTGTGTTCAGCTGTTCTTGGGCAGAGCTGTTGTCACCTGCTTCTCATCTCCCAGGGAAGCCTCAGCTTGGAACAGGAGAGAGATGATATTCTAGATGGTCTACAGATCCAATTTTTCAGGGTCACTTAGGGTTTTACAAGTCATTAAGTAAAACATCTTCAGTTGTATTAAAGATTTTTAAAACTGGGATAAAGAAAAACCATAAAATATTCCATACTAGTGGTAGGCATTTATAAGGCCTGTGTTCCATCCCCAGCACCAAAAAGAAAAACAAAACACTTTAGACTGAATGTTACATGTTAAATCACAAAAAAGGAAAACTCTCTTACTCTATATATTTTACAAAGTACCAGGGGTAGGGCATAGTTTCACCTCTAAAACATCCCACTACCTTCATAAGAAAGAAGGTCCTAGGAATGTATAGACTCTTGAGGAGTCCTGAATACCACTTCCTGTCCATCTAGAATGGACCTCACAAGGGAACATACCAGACCATACCATTGTTCTCTGTCAGCTGTTGTCTAAGAAATAAAATTCATGTCCCTCCCAGTTCCCACTTTCTGAAGTCACCCGATTTCATAAAAGGAAGGTTTGAACAGTAGTCCAGAAGATAGAGTAGTTCCCAGTGAGAACCTCTAACTATGTCCTCAACTATTTGAGACAAAAGCTCCTGTAGCCTGTAGGTCAGGGTGAGCCCAAGGAGGATGGTATAGGAGTCCTAGACGTGAAGAAATGACAGCAAAGCATCCATAGGACTGGAGCAGAAAGGATGCTGAAGGATTGGCCTGATATTCTGGGAACAGTGAGAGGAGCCCAGGAGAATCACTTAGAAAGCAGGAAAGGATCTAGTGTTCCACAAAAAGCTGAATAGGGAAGGCAAGAAAATTGAGGACGAAGGGCAGAAGGGAGTTGACCCTGAGATACTAAAGCAGTCCTGAAATGAAGCAGGCATGCTAGGCTTCATGGTCAACACTGAGCTCAGCCACCCAGGAAGTGACTGGATTTGAGGTTGGCCACAGTGGTGGTCACCCTGCTGGTCTGGGGCAGCCTTGCGGTGGGCTGATAGGGAGGGCTGCCCTGTATTGTTCTCTGGGGATGACCACCTAGGATAGCCAAGGAGGAATGAAGAGCTGTGACCTTTCTTGTTCTTGTTTCCTTGATTTTTACCAGGACGGTTTACGAAGATTTTCAGGAACTGAGTATGTTCTTTCAACAAAAAGTAAGTTTTTTGTTTTTAATTTCTTGGACCACTATAATACTGCAGTCAAGGTTAAATGATGATTTTTTTTCCTCAGAAGTTCTGGGTATGTGAGAAATCAGTTTTCTCGAGGGACTAAATCCCTGATAGGTTATCTAATCCAAGTAGTCAGCCCAAAACTCATGAACACACGAGCACCACGACTCAGTGCATTACATATACATGTATATTTATAAATTTATGTATATGTAACAGTAATAACCACAGAAGAGGACAAGAAATTGAGAGGGAGTAGGGAAGATATTGAAGGAGTTGGAGGGGTAAAAATGATGCAAATACAATGCTCATGTATAAAATTTAAAAAAATTTAAAAAAGTTCTGGGTCTGTCATAAAGCCTCAGAAACAAAGTAGTCATCCTTGTTAGCATACTGTCTTCTCCATGAGACAGTTAATGCCATATTAATGTTGTTCTCAAATTACTTCTCTTTGCAGACATTCAGCAGGCTTCAAGCAGTATGATCATCCCCCTCTCCCTTCATGATATTCCACCTCGGATTGCCCTGGCCATAGAAAATGAAGAATATTGGGACTTTGACATTTTTGAGCTAGAGGCTGCCACCCAAAATAGGTAAGTTGAGCTAGATTCCCAGGGCCTAGCCAGGGAGCCACCTGAGGACTATGGGTGTGTGTAGAGCTATACCCTGGGTGGGAAGGGAGGCTGGGGAAGGAGTAGCAGAATGGCAAGTGGCTCTGAGTCAGTGGAGCTCAAAGCCATGATAGAGTTAGTTTGCTTGGTTATGATGGAGACAGGAGATTTGTGGAAATTGTGAAACTGAAGAAGTGACTGAATTTCTCCACATAGCAATTTTTCCTGAGAAAATAGGTTACTAATTTCTCTTGTGTGTGGCCACATGAGGTAGCAGCAAAGAACCTCCGGCCCCAAAGCCTAGAATCAATATTTGTTAGAAACACATTTGATAAAACCTGGCCTCAGATTGTGGTTGCCATGTTGGTGGCAGACACAGGGATACTCAAAACCTTAGTCATGCTCCTCTGCTTATGATTACAGAGTGGGAGTTTTGGTTTCGCCAAATAAGAGCTGTTAACCACAGAGGTCTTTGTATACAGGATGGGGCATCTACACCAACATCAGCCAGAGCTGTGATCAGAGTTTAAGAGAGGTGTGCTCTGCTAGGCTGTGGGATAATTCAACAGGTCTCATCTCACTGGGTGATCTGTCTACACTGAGCCCCACCCACCTCCAGAGTGCTGAGGTGGTCAGTCACCTGACATGTAGCTGTGCCTGGTTCATGGGTACTTCTTTAGGTTACTTTCTTCTAGGCAGGACATCATTAGTAACATATGAAGTGGTTAAGATTGCACATGGCACAAGTTTAGTCTGGGAATGGTTCTGAAGATTCCACTAGTACAAGTAGGAGTCAGGAAGGGTAGGGTGGTAAACCTCACCCCATCAAATGGGGAGATCCAAAGGATGCGGAGGCCAGAAACCACTGTGGCCCCCTGAAGGCCAGGAATAGAACCCCTTCCTGTAGAGATGGCTATACAGGCCAGCGCAACTCTGGCAGCTCCCCATGATTGCCTTGGGTACTCTATAGTCTGTTATGGATTTGCTTGTTAAGCCTGAATCTCTTCAGAGCTCAGGACACTGGTTCTTTGCTTTGTTTCATATTGTGGATGTTCTTCTTTGTAGGCCTTTGATTTATCTAGGTCTCAAAACATTTGCTCGCTTTGGAATCTGTGAATTCTTACAGTGCTCCGAGTCAACATTGAGATCGTGGTTCCAAATTATTGAAGCCAATTATCATTCTTCTAACCCTTACCACAATTCTACACATTCTGCAGATGTGCTTCACGCCACTGCCTATTTCCTTTCCAGGGACAAAATAAAGGTAAACTCATGTTTGTGCTTCATGTTTAAAAGCAACAGCAGTAGGGAGAGTCTAGTGCCTAAGTCGTAATATAGCCACTTAGGAGTAGTCCTCACATGTGTACAGCCTGACATACAAAGGAAGCCACACAGGCAGAAACTGGGCATGGTGGTGCATGCCTTTAATCTAATCCCAGCACTTGGGAAGCCGAGGCAAGAACTCTGTGAGTTCCAGGTCAGCTGGGGCTACAGAGAAACCCTGCCTCAAAAAACAAAAACAAAAAACAAAAAACAGTTCCTGGGGAGAAAGCCACAGGACAGAGCTTTTCTTTAGGGGAAGGGGAGGTCTCAATCTGAACCTACAGACATATTCAGCCTCACTGGGACTCCTAGTGTTGAGCCTAAATTCATCCTTGTTCCACTCCTCAGCCCTTCACATCTGGCTGATCATCTGACTTCAGACTGAGCTCCTCATTCTGCCATCCCAGCAAGGACCCCTGTCATTTCTCATATGGATGGGTACCTTCTTTCCTGGCCCTCTGGAACTCCCACTGCTGCCATCATGTTCTTTCCAAAGCAGCACATCTGACCATGAATAACTTCCTATCTTTTAGACAGATTCAAACTTTAAACTATGGATGGGCATTCACGGCTCTACAACCTCATTTGTAACAAACTCCCCTCTCATCATTCCCTCTCTGTGCTCCAGACATACAAGCCACTGTTCAGGCCACACAAAACCACTTCAGTGTCTGAAGCTTCTGCCTGGGACCAAGACTGGCTATAGCATCTTTGGAGGTTGCATGCCTCCTGGTTGTATGTCATCCTGTTAACATGTGACTAGCATATGGAGAATGCCTTCTGGTATACAGGGGGACTTGAACAAATGTTAATTCCTCTCCCTGAAGGTCAGACCTCAGAACTGAGTCTTTTCAGGTCCCATTTCCTGCTTTTAATACCAATTTTTGAAAATTTTTTATATAGAGTTTTCATACAGCCTAGGCAAGCGGTAGAGCTGGACTTCTGGCCTACTTCGTGTATTTTAAAGATCAAGACTGTAGGTGGAGTAAATCTAGAGAAGACTGTTTTATAAATTATAAAAACAGGTGGCAAGGAAGGGATGTCTGGGTTAATGTGGCTTAACATATAAATACTATTTTTTGCTGTAGTTCATTGCTTTTGAACTACTCTGTAATATACAAATATATTCAGAGCTAACCTAAAACATATTTTTTGAGACAGGGTCTTGTATAGCCTAGGCTGACCTCAAATTCACTGTGTTCCTGAGGTTGGTTTTGAATCCCTGATCCTCTTGCCTCTCCAAAATACCAGGATTACTAGTGTGCACCAGGCCTGGCCTAAAATAGTATTTAAAGAATTTATTGATACACTATTCACATACCATACAGTGCTCCCATTTAAAGTGAAACTACTGAATTTTAAGTGAAATTTACTTTATAAAGCTGACTTAGTAGATATATATATATATATTATTTTCACATATTTATAGAATATTTCCAAATGTCTTTTTTAAAAATTACATTTATTTAGTGTGAGTGTGTGAGTGTGTGCCTGTATATACACATGTACACATACCATAGCATACATATAGAAGTTAGAGGGCAACTCGTAGAAGTCTGTGCTCTCCACCATGTGTGTCTAAGGAATCAAACTCAGGTCATCAGCCTTCACAGCAAGCACCTTTACCTGCTGAGACATCTTGCCTGCCCCCTAAATATCTTATACTAGGACATAGCCTTGATGAACTTCAAAATTTTATAGCCTGTATATCCTGAACCACAACAAAACTAGAATGTAATAGTTACTGGTTAAATAAAAATGTCAACCACTACAAATGACAAAGTATCTGGAATAACTTTTGGATCCACAAAGAAATAAAACTAAAATGACAGATGCTACTTAGGAAATAAAATGGGAAGTTTTTCTGTCAAAACCTATAGAATGACTGGGACTTGGGAGATAGCTTTAGGTAGTAAAGTGCTTGACATGCAAGTATAAAGACCTGAGTTTGATCTCCAGCATCCACATAAAAAAGCTGGGTATGGTGGCATGGTGCGTGCTTGTAATCCCAGCCCTGGGAAGGCAGATAGAGGGGGATCTGTGGGCTCGCTAGTCAGCCAGCCTAGCCTAATCAGCAAACCTCAGGGCCCTGTGAGGAATTCTGTCCCCCAAATTAAGGTAGATGGCTCTTGAAGAACAACATCTGAGGTTGACCTCTGGCTTCCACATGCGTGTGCACACACGCTCATGCATATCTGCCCACACATGTGCACCTGCAGTGCACATGGAGGACAGAAGAGGGTGTTGAATCCTCTGGAAGTGAAGTTATAGATGGTTGTTAGCCGCCATATGGATGCTGAGATTTGAACCAAGGTCTTTTGCAAGAACAGCCACTGAGCCATCTCTCCAGCCCCATAGTTAAATAATTTTAAAGCTGATATTTTCTTTAAGCAATTTTAAAAATATTTTATCTTTTTTTATTCCAAAGAGAGGCAATTTTTAACACATTTTTCCAGAAATGACTTGAAGGAGGTTACATAAAAATATATATGCAATGATATTTAAGGGGAGAAATTATTTTTATTTTATATGTGTGAGAAATTATTATTTTTATTTTATATGTGTGAGTGTATTGCCTGCATGTATATAAGTGCATCCATGTTGTACAATGCCCGCAGAGGTCAGAAGAGGGCATCAGATCCCCTGGAACTGGAGTTATGAACAGTTGTTAGCTACCATGTGGGTGCTGAGAACTGAACCCAGGTCCTCTGCAAGAGCAGACAATGCTCCTATCTGCAGAGCCATCTCTCCAGCCCCTCTTTAAGCAACTGTTATATAGAACCTCATATAAGAAGTAGAAAATTAGTTGGGCTGGTGATACATACCTATAATTCAGGCCTTAAGAAGCTGAGGTAGGATCAAGAGTTCAAGGCCAATGTGTACTACATGGAGAAATCCTGGCGCTAAATAAATAAATAAGAAGTTGGGGAGGCATCAAACCCACTGAAACAATTTTTAATTACCAACTTATTCAGAAAAAACATGGACAGGTGAGGTATTTAGGCCTTTAAATAATTTTTGCATGTTATACAACTGTGTCAAAGCCCTGAAAGAGATGGAAAACTTCCAGATCATTTTGTCAAATTCACAAGATTCTTACATCAATTTAACAAAGATAGCATCAAAAAGGAGAAAAGTAGACCAATCTCTAATTAATACAAGAAATGCATTATTTTAAAAAGTTATTTCTTATTTAGCACTATTAGTTTATCTTGGTCTAAGGATATGGGCCTTTTTGCAATGGATCTGGAGAAAGGTGACTGAGGAGGTGAATGCTACCTATGTTTTGGTAAGTCCTTCACTCGTGCGAGACTCCAGGATCAGAGAATGTTCTCTAGTAACGATGCACAGAAATATAACTGCTCAGAGTAGAGAAGGGGAAACAAGTAGCTTGAATAATGTAGTTCTCTCAGAAATCTCAGATTCTTACTTTAAATAAGGCAGAGAGAAAACTGTGGAAGGCTTCTGTGTTTCAGTGGCATAACCTGGGTTTCAAAAGAGCTCTTGTTTTCAGGAAACTTTAGATCCAATTGATGAGGTTGCTGCCCTCATCGCTGCCACCATTCACGATGTGGATCACCCTGGGAGAACCAACTCGTTCCTTTGCAATGCAGGAAGTGAGCTGGCCATTTTATACAATGACACTGCTGTGCTGGAGAGCCACCATGCAGCCCTGGCCTTCCAGCTGACTCTTGAAAATGACAAGTGCAATATCTTTAAAAACATGGAGAGGTGAGAACAGCAACTGAGAATTATGTTGGTCCTTTGCTCTCTCTCTCTTTTTTTTTTTTTTTTTTGGTCTTTTTTGAGACAGGGTCTCCCAGTAGCCCCAGCTGGCCTGGAACTCACTATGTAGACCAGGCTGGCCTTGAACTCACAGAGATCCACCTGCCTCTGCCTCCCGAGTGCTGGGATTAAAGGGGTGCACGCTCGGCTGCTCTCTCTTTTTAAGCAGCTTTATCATGCCAGGTGGCACACACCTTCAGTCCCAGCACTCAGACAGAGTCAGGCAGATCTCTGTGAGATCAAGGTCAGCCTGGTCTACACGGTGAATTCCAGGCCAGCTGGGACTACAGGGAGACCCTGTTTCAAAAACAAGTGAAACAAAACAAAACAAGATTAAACAATTTTATTGAGATGTAATTCATATCTTATACAGTTTACCATGTAGAAGATGGCTTTAGGTATGGCGCTCTGCAAGTATCACCGCAGTCTATTTTAAAACAATTTTATTAGCCCCACATAATCCTCAAACCTATGAGCAGTTCCTACATACATATACATTCACACATACCCAAGAGCTGATCCTCCCTGCACTCTATACTTGAACTTAGGCTTGAACTCTAGGCTTGAGCATGCTAAGCAAGCAAGCGCTTTACCTTTCAGCTACATCACCAGCTCTTTTTTACTTTTATTTTGAGGCAGTGTTGCTAAGCTACATCCCTGTCTGGCACACTCCTCTCTGTCTTACTGTGCTCAGCATATTTATTGTCTTTAGCTATTTGTGAGTTACTCCATTAGAAAGCCTTCTCTAAGCCAGGCGTGGTGGCACATGCCTTTAGTCCCAACAGTCTAGAGGCAGAGGCAGGTGAATCTCTGTGAATTCAACGCCAGCCTGGTCTACATAGTGAGTTCCAGGACAGCTGGGGCTACAGGGAGACCCTGTCCAAAAAGACTTTAAAAAAAAAAGGAAGAAGAAGAAGAAGAAGAAGAAGAAGAAGAAGAAGAAGAAGAAGAAGAAGAAGAAGAAGAAGAGGAGGAGGAGGAGGAGGAAGAAGAAGAAGAAGAAGAAGAAGAAGAAGAAGAAGAAGAAGTAGAAGAAGAAGAAGAAGAAGAAGAAGAAGAAGAAGGAGAAGAAGAAGGAGAAGAAGAAGGAGAGGAAGAAGAAGAAGAAGAAGAAGAAGAAGAAGAAGAAGAAGAAGAAGAAGAAGAAGAAGAAGAAGAAGGAGAGGAAGAAGAAGAAGAAAGCCTTCTTTGATCCCTTACAATTAAGTTCAACCCTCTTTTTTGGTCTTTTTGAGACCTCTGCCTCCCAAATGCTGGGATTAAAGGCGTGCACTGCTACACCCGGACAAGTTAGACCCTCTTAATTGCTCAGTCTCAAGTTCTTTCATAGCATGTGTCACATTTATAAAAATAGACTTTAAAAAATTTATTTAGGGGCTAAGGATGTGACTGGGAGGTATGGCACTTATTTAGCATGCACAAGGCTTTAGGTTCTAACCCCATCATGTCAATAAACAAAATGTTTAATGTCCAATTAGATGTTTTAAGACAGGGTCTCACTACATGGCACAGGGTGGCCTTGAAATTGAAGTCTTCCTGTCTCAGCCTCCCAAGTGCTAGGATTATAGGCATGCACCATTGTACCCAGCTCAGATTATACTTAAGCTCTGTAAAGTCTCAGGTATCACATTTTTGTTCATCAGTGAACCATCATGACTAGCCCAGTGCCTGGTAGATAGTAGAGATTGATTTGTCTTAGTTACCTTTCTGTTGCTGTGAGAAAACACTCTGACAAAAACCAGCTTGGGAAGAACAAGGTTTATTTAGCTTGAATAAACAAAGCTGAATTTTTGTTTTTGTTTTGTTTTATCTGAATCATAGTTCATCTTTGAAGGAAGCCAAGGCAGGACCTGAAGCAGAGACTGGAAGAACACTGCTTACTGGCTTGCTCCTCTTGCCTGTGCTGAGCCTACTTTTTTATACTAAGCAGAACTACCTGCGCAGGGGTGTTACCACTCACAGTGGGCTGGGCCCTCCCACATCACTCAACAGTTAAGAAAATGCTTCATAGATATGCCCACAGGCCAGTCCATAGAGGAAATTCCCCCATTGATGTTCCTTCTTCCCAGGTGTGTCAAGTTGACAACTGAAGGTACCCAGCATAGGACTTAACACACATCAGTTGAAGAAAGAAAAGAGTGTCCTGAGAAATACTTTAATTGGGGTCTTAAAGGAAAATTTTTATAGGACTTTTAAGAGTGTTCTGATTTCACAGAACTCCCTTAATATCTTAAAAATTACAGAGGTAGATTTAGGATAAGTTTTACTCATATTTGCTTTCAGATATATAATTCACTTCTGGAAAAATATGTGAGACACTACTAACTTTGGTTGTCTCCAGAGAAAGGCTGACTGCAGAGACAGGGTTAGCTGGGGAATGTTTCATCTTGTTTTGTACTTTTGAATTTTTTTTTAAAGTCTTTTTGAGACAGGGTCTCCCTGTAGCCTCAGCTGACCTGGAATTCACTATGTAGACCAGGCTGGCCTCGATCTCACAGAGATCTGCTGCCTCTGCCTCCCAAGTGCTGGGATTAAAGGCATGTGCCACCATGCTGGGGCACATACTTTTGAATTTTTTATTAGATGGATTGACCCTTCAAAAGTTTTTTTTTTTTTTTTTTTTTTTGAGATGGGGTATCCAAATAGCCTCCAGCTGGCTTGGAACTTGCTATATGTACCAGGCTGGCCTTGAACTCACAGAGATCCACTTGCCTCTACCTCCCAAGTACTGGGATTAAAAGAGTGTGCCACCATGCCTGGCCCAAAATAGTTTTTTGAGAATAATGAAAACAAGGATTATAGGAAGAAATGTGAAACATTCCTTGTGATTTTTCTCAACTGTCAGAAAGTCTGCCCTTAACGTTCTCTGTGTTTTAAGATACCTCCATGCAGGGCACATTGTTAATGAATATAGAGATCTATGGTTATAAAGAGAAAATTTTACTTGCTATAGTGGTGCATGCCTATAATCTCAGCCCTTAAGAGGCTGATAGAGGAGGATTATGAGTTTGAGACCCTGTCTTGAGGGAGGATAGATAGATAGACAGATAGACAGACAGATAGATAGAGATAGAGAGATTGAGATTCATTCCTGCTACATTCTGTCTTATCCCAAGAACTATATGCATTGTACTACAGGGTAATACAATATGAGCTATAAAGTCTTGCCTATAAGCTGATTTATAAGATGAATTTTTGTTTTTTGTTTTTTTTTTTTTCAGACAGGGTCTCCCTGTAACTCCTGGCCTGGAACTCACAGAGATCTGCCTGCCTCTGCCTCCTGAGTGGCAGGATTAAAGGCGTGTGCCACACCTGCCATAAGCTGATTTTTTAACTTGGTTTGGGTTCCACTTACTAATGATGCAGGCACTAACCCACAATTTTCCAATTCTTTTAAAGTGTGACTTCCAGTGGCATTAGATTTGTAGCTGCAGTAGGCTTACATCCTGGGTAACAGATTGTTTCCAGGAGACCTATCTGGTCTGGATCAGTAACCTGCAGCAGCCTCTCATTTGTTGTCTGAAATAGGAATGAGTACCGGACCCTACGCCAGGGTATTATTGACATGGTCCTAGCCACAGAAATGACAAAGCATTTTGAACATGTCAACAAGTTTATCAACAGTATCAACAAGCCCTTGACAACACTAAAAGAAAAAGAGGTAAGAGAAGCTTATTCTGAGAGGACTGGTGCCTAGGTCCTCACACTCACACCAGGTTATGAAGAACTCAGACCTAGGAGATCCCAAGCAGTGCCAGGACCTTCAGTGGACGCACTGAATTTGGTTTTCTTTTCTTTTCTTTTCTTTTCTCTTTCTTTCTTTCTTTCTTTCTTTCTTTCTTTCTTTCTTTCTTTCTTTCTTTCTTTCTTTCTCTTTCTCTCCTTCCTTCCTTCCTTCCTTCCTTCCTTCCTTTCTTCCTTCCTTCCTTTCTTCCTTCCTTCCTTTTTTTTTTTCAAAGATAGATTCTCACTGTGTAGCCCAGGCTGGCCTGGAACTCAGTGATCCTACCACGGCTGGTATTACAGGAGTAAGCCATCACACCTGGCTGAATTTTGTTATCATTGGTTAAAAAAATCATTTAGTGTGCAAAAATTTAGCAGGATAGATGTGGAGAAGCTTGTTTTCACAAGTGGGCCATTCCTGTGCTGTCTCACACATATCCCCTTCTTCACTGAGCATTCTGGGGCCAGTTGGAACCCTGGATGGCTCTTATTGGCTACTCCTCCCGTGAGCACAGCAGTAGCTCTCCTGGCAGGAGGGTGGGGTTGAGAGGGATCCTGTACTGGGGTCCCAAAGTGACCCCAAAAAGTATTATTCCCCCTCATTTCTGGATTTGAAGCATGGAGCTCATGACTCGCTGGCAAGGACATCAGCATCTGACCAGGCAGAAGAGTTGCTATGAAGCAAAGATGTTAGTTCCCATCTCCTTGTCTGTAGAATGGGGGCGGTAAACCTCAAAGCTACACAGGATGGTGGGCGTGGTGCATGCTAGGTTCCTGTTATAGCAGATCTGTGTGGAACCTGCATCTTTATTAACCCTCTTCTCATCGTCACACACCTGCCCTGCCCACATTCACTGAATACCTTGGCCGCAACTCACTCTCTTACCCACACAATCCTTCCTGGCTCTTGTCACCATCCTGAGGTGTTTCTCACACACACACACACACACACACACACACACACACACACACACACACACGGAAGGTTTGCCCCTCAGAGCAGGATCAAGACTGCTTGACTTGATTCCATTTTCTGCCATTTGTTTGGCTATGGCCTTGGCTACCTACTCCCTGGTCTTATAGTGTACTAGCCCTTGACCTGTCCAACCTGGTGGTGGAACCTGTAGAGAGCTTTCTCCCTTATCCCTGCTATCCCAGTACATCAGCCTTCTCATCATGTACCACCTTTCAAAGGATGGCCACTACAGAGGCAACCACACAGCCTCTCTCACTGGCTCCTGCCCTGCCATTTAGGTAGGGCCGTTTCTCACCTGGTGACCACCCCTGGGTGGCACTATGACACAGCACACTACATACCTAATTTCCTCCTTCAAGTTGGTACCATGCCCAGGTTTTTCCTCGGGTCCACATAACAAACCCTTTGCTCAACCCTTTCGTCAGTAATTGAGGTAGAGCTCAGAAAACTGCAAGTCAGTGGCCATTGAGCCAGAGCAGGGGCAACAAGAAATAACTGACTGGTAGATCTGACCTGTAGTCATACCTAGTGTGGCATGAAGCTGGGCAGCAGTGGAAATCAGGAGTGTGGAAAGCTCAGGATAGATCTTCCATTCTGACCTTGGCTCAACTGGGTAGCTTTGGATAGTCACTTTGAACCCTAGTGTCCTTGTTTGTAAAATATAATAGTAGTAATACTTTGCATAGTTCCTACAGAGTCTTCCTTTGAGTGCAAATCAAAAAAAAAAGGACTTCGTGTCCTTGTATATCACAAATGTTAAGGCAGTATGAGGGCCTGTCACTAGACTTGACATGATCTGGTTTCAAATTCTCAAAACACCTGTCACAGAGAGGGGTTGAGGATTAGGCTATAAGAAGCAGGGAGCTGGTGGACCACAGAGCTCTTTTGTTCTGAGAACAGAGGAAATCTTTTTCAGCTTATTTTGTATTTCAGTAAATATCCTAAAAAGAAACTGACCTTTGAGTTCTTACCAACAGGAAAAGATAGTAGAACATAAAGAAAAGGCAACCATGAAAGAGACTGAAAGAAAAGGTGGAGGCAAGGAAAAAGGGAAGGGAGATACACCAAGACTTTGCACCCAGTACTGCCCTCAAAGCCTGGGTCCTGCTGAACTCTCACTGCACCTTGCTTGCTTTCTTGTACACTGAAGTCAAGCTCGGTGCTTAGAGCATCTACAGCACTCTGCTGTGTGAGACCTTAAACTTTGTAGATCCTGGCCAGAGCCTTCCTGTGCTTACAGAACCCCACCAATTAAAGGGTTTTGGATGACCCATGTTGATTACTTTGACTTCTACTCATGGTTCAGGAAATTGGCAAAGACCAAGGAGCTATAAGTGCTATGCTCAAGACTCCAGAGAACCGGGCTCTCATCAAACGAATGATGATCAAGTGTGCCGATGTGTCCAATCCCTGCCGGCCCCTGGAGTACTGCATCGAGTGGGCTGCACGCATTTCAGAAGAATATTTTTCTCAGGTAAGGTGTTTCATCTTAAGTTCCTTAATATACAAACACACACATACACACACACACACACAGAGATAGGAACCCTCAGATTATAGACTTAAAACTAGGGAAGAAAGTTCTAAAAGAAATTCTGTCCTTGAAGAACATTTCTTATATTGCACACTTACTGATAATGAATGCTGTTTGTCTTTTCTTTTCATTCTTGCAGAACATCTTTGCTGGGTATGGAATACTGGGTTGTCAGGTTTCCCCTAAAAGCACTTTATTAAGGAGTTATCTGTCCTTCTTATTCTCTTGGGACAGAAAGAAAGTAAATTGGCTAATTTTTTTCCAGATCTGGTAGGGGACATATGCACACAGATTAAGAAGAAGAAGAAAAGAAAGGAAACATGACTTACAAGGAAAAAAAAAATCATTTTCATGTTTTCTGACTTCCTGTCAGAAACTTTGAAAGCCAGAAGATACTGACGTATCTTGTTTAAACTGGTATTAGAAGAAAACTGTCAACTCAGAACAATGAAATATCCAATGAAATATCCTCAAAGATCAGGGCAAGGCAAACACAGTCTCAGATATGGAAAAACTGATAGAATTCATTACCAGTGAACCTACAATACAAGAAATAACTAAACAAAGATCTTAAGGTTGAAAGGTAATAATCACAGATGCAAACTTGGATCTTCAAGAAGGAATAAAAATATCCAAAATGGTAAATATCTGGGTATACAAGGTTTTCTTTTTAGTCTCTAAGTTTCTCTATATTAAATAGGTTTATTTTAAGCAGATGCTCTCATATTGTATTTTAAGGTCTATACTGTATATAAAAGGACAGAAGAATAGAGCAGGTGACGGTCTGATGTGGATCTGAGGCTTCTATATCTGAGATGAAGTGTTACATTAGCTCAGAAAAACATGGAGGATACAGATTATCATCCCCAGAACATTCATATTTAATAAAAGACCTATTTTAATGGAAAAAATGTGTTTTTTTGTCTTTTTGAAACAGGGTCTCCCTGTAGCCCCATCTGGCCTGGAACTCACTATGTAGACCAGGCTGACCGCGAACTCTTGAACTCACAGAGATCTGCCTGCTTCTGTCTCCCAAGTGCTGGGACTACAGACTTGTGCCACCACACCCCACCTTTAATGGAATTTAAGAAATATATTAAAATAATACAAAGAAATCAGAAAATGGAAAAATCAAGGAACCAAAACCAAGGGAACAAATAATAAAAATGGTAGCTCTACCTAATCATAACAGCATTGTTAAATTCAATTACATTAGGGACTGGAGAGATGGCTCAGCGGTTAAGAGCACCGACTGCTCTTGCAGAGGACCCAGGTTCGATTTCCAGCACCCCCATCGTGGCTACAAACCGTCCTTAACTCCAGTTCCAGGGGAATCCAAAACTCTCTTCTGTCCTCCGTGGCATTGCACGACACAGGTGCACTCACATACATGCAGGCAATACACTCATACACATAAAATAAAAAATAATAAAATATTTTTTAAAAATTCAATTATATTAAATGTTAGCAGGCTCAACACTGCCATTAAAAAAAAAAATTCATCAGAACAGATTAGGCTGGGCATGGTGGTGCATGCCTATAATCCCAGCACTTGCAAGACTGAGACAGGAGGTTGGAAAATTCAAGGGTGGCTTGGGCTACATATATATTTTGTTTTGTCTCCAAAACAAAATACAGCCAAGTAAAACAAAAGCCCAACTATATGCAGCCTAGAAAAGACATTTAAGTATAAAGAACAGATAAATGGATGGATAAAGGTATATCATACAAACCTATCATATAAACATAAGAAGTCTAGAATAACCGTATTAATTTCAGGTAAAAGACATCAAGACAAAGGACACTGCCAGAGCTAGTAGGATACTTCATAATGAGAAAAGGGCCAATTCTGTAGGAAGCTATAACCATAAATGTATATGCACTTAATATCAGAGCTTGAAAATAGCAAAACTGACAGAACCAAAAAGAGATATCTGGGCTGGAGAGATGGCTCAGTGGTTAAGGACACTGACTGGCAGTGGACCTGGTGTCTGTTCCCAGCACCCACATGGCGACTAACACCTGTCCTTAACTCTAGTTCCAGGGGATCTGACGCCCTCTTCTGACCTCCTCAGGCATCAAATCCCAGCACCTACATGACAGCTAACAATCACCTGTAATTCCAGTTTCAGGAAATCTGATACCCTCTTCTGGCTTCCTCAGGCTTTGGTCAACATAAGTGCACTTACATACATGCAGGCAATATACTCAAACATAAAATATTAAAAAGGGAAAAATAAAATATCATTGAATAGAGAGACAGTTTGAATATTTATGGTAGAAATAATGCCAGCATTACAAATTATATGAGAAAACAGGAGGTAGGAACACTTCCCAACTCATTTATGAGGCCATTCTTATCCAGTTACCTATACCCAGCAAAGAACACCAGCAGACATTAAAACCATTGTCCTCAAAAACATAAATATAGGGACTGGAGAGATCGCTCAGCAGTTAAGAACACACTGTTCTTGCAGAAGACCCAGGTTCGAATCCCAACGCCCACACGGCAGCTAACAACTATCCATAACTCCAGTTCCAGGGGATTTGACAGCCTCTTCTATCCTCTGTGGGCATTGCACAACACATGGATGCACTTATCTACATGCAGGCAATACACGCATACACATAAAAATAAATTATATATATATGTAGAAGTGCGTCATCAGATAGTATAGAGGATAATACATCACCAAGTAGGTTTGGTCCCAGAAATGCAAGGTTGGTTCAATACTGGGGAAGTAAATTATTATAATTTATCATACTACTTGAATAATGAAGAAAAGTCTTACAATTATTTCTGCAGTGCAGAAAAAAGCATGTGACAGAATTCAAGATCTGTTTCTCACAGGAACTCTTAGTAAACTAGGAATAGAAGGAAATTACTTTTAAAAAGGATCTGTAAAGGCTGGGCGTGGTGGTGCACACCTTTAGTCCCAGCACTTAGGAGGCAGAGGTAGGCAGATCTCTGTGAGTTCAAGGCCAGCCTGGTCTACATAGTGAGTTCTGGGCCAACTGGGGCTACAGGGAGACCCTGTCTCAAAAAGACCAAAAAAAATCTGCAGAAATATAGCACACTTGTATTAGCATATGCTGTTGAATACACTGCCCCTAAGAATGGAAACAGCTGGGGCCATTCTTATCATTGCTGCTCAACATTGTGTTGGTATTTCTAGCCACTGCAGTAAGCAAAGGAGGAAAACCTGTGTAGGAACCCAAAGTAATACCTTGGTTTGCAGATAGTATTCTTGTGCATAAAATTCCTAAGGAAGGCATAAAACAATTACATTAATAATCAGGTTTGATTTAGTAAGATCATAGAACAGTAAGTTTAATATATAAAACTCATTTGTATTTTATATACTTGCTGTGACCAGAAAATCAGACTAGAAGCAGTACTGATTACAATAGCAATAAAAAGCAAGATTACTTAGAAATAATTTACTAATAGATGGCCCAACCTCACCAAACATTGCTAGAAACTTAAAGAACACTTGAATAAATAGGGAGGCATCCTGTGTCCACATATTAGAAGGCACAGAAGTTAAGATAGCTCTCCCAAGATCCTATATCCACTCTGCAGTTTCAGCCACAGCCCAGCAGGGACTTTTGTGGGTTGGGTTTGGGTTTGCTTTTCTGAAAATTAACAAGAGTCTAAATTGTATATGGAAATGTGAAGGACCTTGAATAAGCAAAAGAACTTGAAAATCAAAAATTGGAATATGTATACTATTTGGCCTCAAAACTTACGTAGTTGCCGGGGTGGTGGCGCACGTCTTTAATCCCAGCACTCAGGAGGCAGAGGTAGGCGGATTTCTGTTGAGTTCAGTTTGAGGCCAGCCTGGTCTTCATAGTGAATCCAGGACAGCTGGGGCTACAGGGAGACCCTGTCTCAAAAAGACAAAAAATAAAACGAAAACAAAAAAAACTTACAGTAGTCAAGATAGTATGGTACTGGCGTAAAGAGAAATATATCTATGGAACAGAATAAAAGCAGATCGTATTTATAGAGTCATATAAAGAAAGTTCTTTTTCCTGTAAATGGTGTTGGAAAAAGAGGATATAGCTATGCACAGAAAGAACCACAGCTCCTCCTACCTCCTACCACAGAGCTATCAGTTCACAGTAGATCACAGACCTGACTAGAAAAGCTAAAATCAGGAAGCAAGAGCAGAGTGTCCCCAATGACTTGGAAATGGACAAAGACTTTTTAGAGATAACACAGCAACAGCCAGGAAATTAGAATTAATCAGTTTTTTAAAAACATGCTCATCCTTGCACAGCTAAGAAAATGAGTAAGCAGGCCATGGGGGAGAAAATACATACAAATCATTTTTGACAAAGGACTGTATCCAGGTTGTGTAATGAACTACATCACAATAGTAAGAAAAGCCACCCATCTAGAAATAAGTAAATGTTTGAAGACATTTCACAAAAGATAGTATGAATGGCCAATAAGTATATGAAAAATACCTTACCTCATGAGGGAAATTCAAATGAAAACCACAATGAAATTCTACCACACATCAGCACAGTGGTTTAAAATTGAAAATACTGAGGCCAGGTTTGGTTGCTCACAAATGTAACGCCAGTACTTGAGAGGAGGTGGAGGCAGAAGGATTAGAAGTTCAAGGTCATTCTCAGCTATATATCAAGTTTGATTCCAGCCTGAGCTATAAGAGACCCTGTCTCAAAAAAATTTTTTTGACAACATGAACTGTTAGTGAAGATGTGAAGCAGATATCAGCAAAGTTGCAGAAAATGCTGCAACCTGTGGGTAAGCAGATTACTAGACTTATTTGTGGTAAAATTTTTATAGCACGAAATTTACCATGTTAGCTCATAGAAAATTTTTTTCTTTTTTGAGACAGATTATTACTATATAACATAGCCCAGGCTGGCATCAAACTTAAAATCCTCCTGCCTTCCTGGGTGATTAAATTAGAGATGTGTGCCACTACCCCTGGCTGGTCTTGAGAGATGTGTGCCACTACTCCTCTCTGTTACCTGAGGCTGACATGAACTTATCCTCCTGCCTCTTTCTACTTCCTGAACACTGGGCTTACAGGCATGTGCCATGTGGAGCCTAGGGATTGAACCCAGGGCCTCATACATACTAGGCAAACACTCTACCATCTGAGCTACAGCCCCCAAGCCATCCCTCCCTTCTTTCCTTCATTTATTTTTGAGACAGCCTTGAACTCACAGCAGTGCTTCTATCTCAGCTTCTCAAGAGCTGAGATTATAGGTGTGAATCCTACTACACCCTGCTTCTTTATTAACACAGTGCTTTACAGTGATTGATTTTTTCACATGAGGAACCATCCTCAAATTCAAGAAAGTCCACACGGTCACGGTCATGTAGGATTTTTTTTTTTTATTATATGTACAAGTGTTTTGCCTGCATATATGTAAGTGCACCCATGTCATGCAAGGCCTGCAAAGGCCAGAAGAGGGTGTCAGATCCCCTGGAACTGGAGTTACAAGTAGTTGTTAGCTCCTATATGGGTGGTGGGAACCAAACCTGGGTCCTCTGAAGAGCCAGTGCTCTTAACTGCTGAGCCGTCTCTCAGGCCCCTGTACAATTCTTTTGAGATGCTGAATTTGTACCAGTATTTTGTTTGGGATTTTTGTATCAGTATCCATGGGATATTGTTCTGGAGATTTATTTTTTGTAGTGCTTTTGTTATTAGGGTGTGTTGACCTTAGAGGATAAACTAGGAAGTGTTCCTTCTTTGGTTTATTTTTGGAAGACTTTGACAGAGATCAGTGCCAATTCTTGAAACATTTGTTAGGAGTCACCAGTGAAGCCTTTTCTCTGTTGGGAGGTTTGAGGATTGATGCAGTCTCCTTACTAGTTAATAGGTCTATTTGGGTCTTCCCAATAAGATAATGCAGCCATAACCGAGAACGAGGCCACTGGACCCATCCCTGGAACAGCAGACTTGTGTTTCTCACTCACCTTTTGTGGCACCAGTGTGGGCATATCAGGCATTTGTGGGTAGAAGGATGGTGAAGTGGCAGCAACAGCGGAAATAGGTGACCACAGATACAGCTTCCAGCTGTTGAAAATGTTTGGGTTCACTTGGGATGTCCTCAAGGGTTCCCACTCTAGGAACAGCTGGTGTATGGCAGATCTGGTTTGCTTAGCTATTGCTACATTGAGCTCTCACACCAGCCAATAGGGTTGCCCCAGGCACTCTCTGAGGGAGGGGCTTCTCAGAGGTGGGTGGGGCCGAATGCCAGTCCCTGAGATCACCAGAGGCTCTGCTTTGCAGACTGATGAAGAGAAGCAGCTGGACTTGCCTGTAGTGATGCCAGTTTTCGACAGAAACACCTGCAGCATCCCCAAATCTCAAATCTCTTTCATTGACTACTTCATCACAAACATGTTTTACGCCTGGCATGGTAAGGAAATTTCTAGCACTTCTTCCTTTAAGGAGAAACTGTATATTAAACAATAAGTAATACGTGGGACTTTCAAGGTAAAATGAGATAAAAGAAGCCATCCCTGAAGGCTGGGTATTTTCTGCACTTATGAACAACCAGCAGTGTAGGGCACTGTATTCAGAGTTGAACTCACTAGCTAGTAGCAGAGGGGCCTAAACTCAAACAACAGTGTCACCTCCAAAACCCAGTGTTTCTGTGTGAGTCTTTTCCATCCACTGTCCCAGCTAGTCTCAGGCCTCGCTCTGTGCCACACTGAGCTTGGGCTGGTTTCTATTCATATCACTCTGTTGACCTTCAGGTGGGGGCAAAGTCTGTCAAATAAGAGGTACTCAGAAGAGGATCCCAAGGATGTCCCTCACCTACTCCTTGTGTAGTACCTAAGGGCTGCACCTTGGAGGAGGAGCTGCAGAGCAGATACTTGCAGATCAGGAGGCTGAGAGCAGGGTTCCTTATATTCCAGTCACCCCTATTCTCGCAGGTGTCTTTGGCATTACACCAGTGCCTACTCCCTTCTGTCCCTCTTTCTTAAAAGGCTAGGGCCAAGGCCGTTGGTCATTGGTTGAAGGCCTGAGTTCCAGTCCCAGAAAGAAAATATGGACTGTGAGAAGATGCTGCATTCCTCTCTCTCTTTCTCTCTCCAGCCTTTGTGAACCTGCCTATTTTAATGCAGCACTTGGATGATAACTACAAGTACTGGAAAGGACTGGATGAAAAGAAGCTGCGGAGCCTCCGACCCCCTCCAGAATAGCATGGGGCACACATCTGGCCTAAGGCTTACTCTCCTGTCCTTTGCAGTTTCTGAGCACAGCTGGAGTTTCTCCATCCTTTCAGTGTTAGGCAGATCTGTCCCCTTATCTGCAGAGCCTGTGAAAGCGCATGGGGACATCAGCCTTCTGTGTCTATCATTTGATGCCATAGCATGAGCCTACTGCAAAGGCTCCTTAGAACAGCACCTAAGAATCCCAGTTTGCATCAACTTTGTGTTGCCACAGGCCTGGGAACCCTGGGAGCAGAGGTGGTCCATGGCTTTCCTGCCTGGGAAACTGCAAACCATTTCTCCTAGTTCCTTCAGCACTCAGAAGAGCCATGGCAATCAGATCTGTAGCAACTTTCTTCACATCATAGACGGTGCAGTCACTCACTTTGGAACACTACTGAAAGTGAAGTCTCTTAAAATTGAGTAGCTAATGAGACAAAGAAATTTTGAGGTTGATTATTACCAATTATTAAATGTTTTATTTATTTTATTAGAAGTTCAATATTTTCTATGAATTTAAAAACACTTCAAAGCCAAAGTCAACTCCAAATGCCACAACCAAATTTACGTGACTCATATTCATTATATACATGACTTGGTGTACAGACTTATTTTCATAATGCAGATTTAAAATATACAGTTATACATTTTTATTACACTATAGAAATATTTGTGTTTCTGCCGGGTGTGGTGGCGCACACCTATAGTCCCAGCACTTGGGAGGCAGAGGCAGGCAGATCTCTGTGAGTTCAAGGCCAGCTGGGGCTACAGGGAGACCCTGCTTCAAAAAGAAAAAAAGAAAAAGAAATATTTGTGTATCTTAAGCTTTCCTCTTTGACACTAATGGGAAAGCTGTTTGCTGGCGGCTCTCACTCTAGAGCGCTGACAGAAGCCGCTTCTGCTTGCAGAGCCTGGCTCTGACACAGCATCTGTCAGCTGATGAGTTCTGCAGAGAAAAATTAGAATTTGACCATTTTTTCCCTAAAATTTTGTAAATGAATTTCTAAGAGCCTGCCTTATTTTATACTGTTTCTATAAAATATGACCTACAAAACCAAAGAGCAAACCTGAAATATTTAATGATTGCTATTTTATAACCAATGTGTTTTCATCTGCCATGGGAGTCTTTGATTCTAGAAATTTATAAAGATTCTATATCTTCACATTTTGAGTAAGCATAATACTTATATAAAAATGGCTTAATGAAATGTCAAAGTGTTGGTTTCATTTTAAACTTGTATTTTTTCCAGATAAAAATGAAATTAAACTATTGTTTTTAAGAAGTCATTTGTTGCCATTTCTTTGGCATTGTCTAATAATAGTCTTTCTAAGTAATGAATATACATTTGTTTTAGAGAAAAGACTAGTAATTAAATGACTTTTCCAAGGTCATGTGGAGCCATAAGAGGCCTCTGGGGCCTCTTCATATAAGTCAGGATGGGGCTGGAAAGATGGCTCAGTGGTTAGGAGCACTGGGCACTCTTGCAGAGGATCCAGGTTCAGCACCCACAAGGCAGCTCACACCACCTGAAATTTCAGTTCCAGGGGATCTAATGCCTTCTTCTGGCCTCCTTAGGCATTGCATGTACATGGTGCACTTACATACAGGTAAAAAAATTAAAAATGTTAGGGTACTGCAGAGGATTAACAGAACAAGCCCTTCTGGCTTCTAGGGAAACATATCCTTTGTGAAGACATTTTATCTAATTGTGGACTGAGCTAGGTAGAAAGATCCTTTCCCTCCTCCCAGCATCAAGGAAAGAAAGGAAACTTAGGCCATCATGGGGTGAGAGGCAACAGATCATATAATACATGGGATTTTTACCACAAAAAGCTAGTGTTATACCAGTCTGAATGAAGCTTTCAGATGAACATGCCTGACATCTTTGAAGAGATGAAAGAAGCACTAATCACTACAAAGCAAACAAAAACTGCAGTGTGTAGCTCTTGTAGAAGGCAGACACGCCTAAAGACAGCACAAATGAAAAACAAGTGAGGGAGCTGCTTAGAAGACAGCAGAGACAAAACTGAAAACATGCAAGGTGAAATACAGAGGCAGAGTGAAATGCTTCTAAAAGTGTGTCTCACCAGGAGATCCATGAGGGAGAGCAAATGGGGAGAGACTAGCCAAGACCAACAGGCAAATATAAGGAATCGTGGCTTACTGGAACAAACTACTGTGGACATAGCCACAGGGGTCAAAGCCTTGCTGGAAGCCCAGCCTTGCCAATCTGAGGGAAACTTGGGGTCGGGGTTGGCACAGTCACAGGGAATACACCTCTACCCCACCCACTTCTGTGAGTTTTACTTGCAGGAGTTTGAACATATTCGTACAGTGAGTACCAAATTCTTCCAGTAAACAGAGAGGGGAAAGCACTGTTTTGATAGGCTGGTTATGAGATTTTTTTTTAAATTGTGTGTTATGGGGAGGTCAGAGGATGACCCACTGGAGTTGTTTTTCTCCTTCCACCACATGGGTCCAGGACTTCGAATTCAGGTATTCAGACTTGGTGGCAAGTGCCTGCTGAGCCATCTTGCTAGCTCCTGATGGGTGATTATCAACTGGCCATGACTAAGTAAAGAATCTCTCAGCCTGATATATCAACAGAAGCCTCAGAGAACTGAAAATCAGAGAACGAGACTAGGACGTGTGTGTGTGTGTGCACGCATGTGCGTGCGTGCGTGCACATGAATGTTGTGCCTTTTGATCTCTTGGAACTTGAGTATAGGCTATCATGAGCTATCTGATGTGGGTGCTGGGAACTGACCTCAGGTTCTCTGCAACTTCTGAGGATCTCTCCAGCCCCAGGAACAAAAGTTTTAACATGTATGATAAGAATTCCAGAAGGATCTGGAGAGCTGGCTCAGCAGTTAAGAGCACTGCTATTACAGAGTACCCAGATTCAATTCCCAGCACCCACATGGTGGCTAACAACCATCCCTAACTCCAGTTCTAGAGGAATCTGATGCCTTCTTCCAGCGCTTCGTGGGCATTGCACAACACGGGTGTACTTATATGCAGGCATACATACTCATACACATAAAATAAAAATGATAAATAAAATATTTAAAGAAAAGAATTCCAGAAGGAGAAAGAAAGGAAGAGAAGAAAATTGTTGAGAGTTTCCCCCAAACTAACATGAAGCTTAGAAAACCCCCGACAGAGTGGATGGGGAAGTGGGAGTCGGGCCCTGCAGTCAGCCTTAGTTCACTTGAGGTGGGGTGATTTATAAAGAACGTTGTGGTTCTTGAAGCTTCTAAGTCCAAGATGAAGGGGTCAGTAGGATGGTCTCTGGTAAGGGCTGCTCTCTGCTTCCAAGATGGTGTCTTATGGCTGTACCCTGTGTTCTTACCTCTTCGTGAGGGGCGTGCCCCTCCCATGGCAGGAGTATGAGAACAAGCCCACTCCCTCAGGTCCTTTAACAAAGCCTTTCCCTCATGAAAGAGGAAAGAGGGCTCCACTCCCAGGACTTCATCATCCCCTGAACTCCACACTAAATTCCAACAAATTAACCCTGTAAGGGCAGCATTAGTGTATTCCTTCAAACTGCAGAAAATCAAAGTGGAGAAAACTTCCTGGAAGAAGCTGGGGGCTGGGAACACACCTACAGAAGAGTGGAGGTACAAATTTCTTGATGCCGCTGCTTTGAGTCCCCCACGATTCGATAAGTAACCCTCACTTACCGGTAAGTAGGCCCAATAGACTCATTGGTTTGGAAGAAAAAAAAGAAGAGAGAAAAGCATCTGACTTTTCTCTAAAAACAGTGCACAGAGTAGAGTGAAATGCTGAGAGAAGAAGATACCAATCTAGAATTCTCTATTTGGCAAAATTATCCTTTAAAAAATAATAAATGCTATAATCTCAGCACTCAGGAGCCAAGGCAGAAGGATCTTGAGTTCCAGGCCAACTTGAGCAACATAGCTAGAACCTATCTCAAAAACAAAAAAGCAGCACTTGGGAGGCTGAGAAAGAAGAACTACTGAGTTCAAAGCTAGCCTGGGCAACAGTGAACTCTAGGCCAGCCTGAACTACAGTGAGCCCATTTAAAAAAAAAAGTGGCCCCTGGAGCCAAAGCTCTGTGGGAAAGCCTGTGCTCAGCATGGCCTAAGCTGGATCCCCCACATTTGTTTGTTTGTCCCCCCACACACATTTGTTTTTAAAGTGAAGGGGATATAAAGACTCAGACAAACATATTGAAGGAATTTGGTGCCAGTACACTTGAGTTATAAGAAATGTTAAGGGACTGGAGAAATGGCTCAGTGATTAAGAGCACTGGCTGCTCTTGCAGAGGACCCAGGTTTAGTTCCCAGCAGCTAACAACCATCCATAACTCCAATTCCAGGGGATCTGATGCCCTCTTCTGACCTCCATGGGCATTGCATGACACGGTGCACTTACATACATGCAGGCAATACACATAGACATAAAACTAAAATAATAAAATCTTTAAAAATGTTAAAAGAAGTTCTTTAGGGAGAAGGAAAATCACACAGATCGTAAACTGGAGTGTCCTAAAAAGAGGAAAAGTATCAAAGGAAGAAATCAAAGTTTAAAAAAATGGAGCTGGAGAGAAGGCTCATGAGGATCCTGGGACTCAAACCCGGGTGCTCTGCAAGAGCAGCCAGTGAGTGATCTTAACTACTGAGCCATCTCTCCAGCTCGACCGCCACCTACTTCCTGTTTCTCAGTTGGCCTGCCTTAACATTAACTAGTTGGATAGATGGCTGAGTGTGAGGATGGAGATTCTGGGTACCAGGACTTGAGACTAGTCCTGCTTCTTGGCATGACTGTATCTCTCAGGTCAGTCCCTCAGCCTTGGGTGAGCGGCTCTGTCCCCCTGTTCAGTGATTAGTGTGCAGCCCCAGGGCAGCATGCTGAAGTTGATCCCTTCTTTTTTGCTTTTTGTTTGTTTGCTTTTTGTTTTTTGAGACAGGGTCTCCTTGTAGCTGTGGCTGGAACTCTATGTAGACCAGGCTGGCCTCAGTCTCACAGAGATCCATCTGCCTCTGCCTCATAAGTGCTGGGATTAAAGGTGTGTGCACCATCACGCCCCACTTCCTTGCTCCTCTTGTGTCAGTGGTTATTGTTTCTGATTACATATTCTGTCAGTATTTGGAATGCAATAAATTCTTCTATTTTAGTTTGCTTCACGCACCCTGGATTATAAATTCCAGGAGTTTTTATTGTCTTTATTTTTTCAAAATTTTAAAGTTTATTTTATTTTAAAATTTTTATTTATTATTTTTATTTTATGTGTATGTGTGTACTGCCTGCATGTAGGTAAGTGCACCCATGTCGTGCAATGCCCATGGAGGTCAGAAAAGGCTGTTGGATCCCTAGTTATGAGCTGCCATGTGGGTGCTGGGATTCGAACCCGGGTCTTCTGCAAGAACAACCAGTGTTCTTAACCACTGCACCATCTCTCCAGCCCGTTTTTCAGATTTTTAACACAGATGACTGAGTCATCTGAAAACAGAGTTTTATTTCTTCCAACTCAGTCTATTATCACTTCCTTTTCTTTTGTCATTTCATTAGCTAGGTCTTGGAATGTGATGGGAAGAATGGTGAGAAGGGACTTCCTCACATTATTCCTGTTTTAAGTGGGGATGCTTCTGACTTCTTACTGTTAAGTATTGTGTTTGCTGCAGGTTTCTGTAGCAGTTGGTTATTGAACTGAGAAAGTTCCCCTTCATTTTCCTGAGAGCTTTTATTATTCATTCATTCAAATGTTTTTTCTGCATATACCAATGTAAACTTTTTAGCCCATCTACATTACATTAATTTTTTGAATTACATTAATTTTTGAATTTTTATATATGCCTTGATATTTAAGGTGGATTTCTGAGGACAGCATATATTTGTTTGTTTTTGTAAAATCTACTTTTGCAGGGCTGGGTGTGGTGGTGCACGCCTTTAATCCCAGCACTCGGGAGGCAGAGGCAGGCTCTGTGAGTTCAAGGCCAGTCTGGTCTACATAGTGAGTTCCAGGACAGCTGGGGCTACAGGGAGACCCTTTCTCAAAAAGACCAAAAAAACAAAAAAACCCTACTCTTGTAATCAATAGTCCTCTAACTGGTTCATTTAGATCAGTGATGTTGATGTAGTTAATTATTTCCCATCTTTGGTGCTGTTTTTTATTGCCTTTTTTTTTTAACGTGTGTGTGTGTGTGTGTGTGTGTGTGTGTGTACATCAGAAAACAACTTTCAGGAGTCGGTTGGGTTCTAAGGACTGGATCAGAGCAGGCTTAGCAGCAGTGCCTTCTGTTGAGCCACCTCCACTGC